AACCGCATTCCCGGGATTACGCCCTGATGTTGTTGTGTTCTTACATTGCCCCTATGATGGAACAACTAGCCCAGCAACGCACGTAATATTGACTACACAGATCATAGAATATAAGAATAACCAACGCGGATAAAACCGCTCGAAACATCTACGCAACAAACAAATCAATGCCATAGATTCATGTGTAGCTACGAATAAGAGAACACTACAAAGGTATACGACTACTACGCCTAACTCACGGGTCGAACCCAGTTGTTTCCGTTACGTGGGGGCGACGTGGCTCGGTTCCGCTGGACTTCCTTGGGCTTCCATGCCCACTTCCACTTGCGAATGTATGGAGAGTTGACAGGCAAAGTGGCGGCGACGGAATACGAACGACAGCGAACGGCCAGACTCGACGACGGCAACACGTAGACTGACTGCAGGCAAGGGCGCCTGCGTTCTGCATCTCTGACGCTCTTCTCGAAGCTTCGACAGCACGGGCGCGCCAGGACCCGCGCACACCCGACCAGGCGCAACCCTTTAATTTGAGTCGTACGGAAGTCACGACACCTTGCTCAACACAACGCGTTCCACGAAGAGCCGCATCAGCAAAAATGGATACAATTTATCACGTGTTCTCACAGATTCATTCTCTTCAAAAATACTACCTATTCCGTGCCATAATCGATGAGAACCTATTGCACCTCTTTCTGTGCTAGCCCCCATTTATGACCGTAGAAATCCAAATACGAACCGTATAGATTGTTCAGATGGACAGCTGACCCAAGATGGATGGGATGCAGGGGCAGTGGTCAGGCGGGTTGTGTAGAGGAACTATGTGTGTACCCCTCCCCCCACCGCCGCTTGGAAATTTTGGAGCGGGGATAAAGAGTGTCGAGTCGTCGAGAGCACGTTCCACGGCATAATGGACACCTTCTATTGATGGAGAGAATGAGGGGGGGGGGGTCGCAGTGAGGAACTTTCCCCGTAGGAGTTGTACCGACTTCAATTTTTCTCACCGTGACTGTTGAATTTACCCACGATGTCTTTCCCCTCGGAAACTAGGGTTACCGTAATCCGAAACCGGTTCACCACAATGCTACCCTTGCTTTCAAATGACCAGAAATTGTGCAATTGCAGAAATTGACGTGCCATTAACGTGGCATCGATTCAAGAACATCTTGAGCACACGTGATGTGTCCAAGGGTAGCGGTCAACCGTAAAGGCTTGGTGATTCAGCGTTTTTAGCGTTCTCTGGGCACTCTCGCATATGTACACTATTACAGCGTCTCTGCTTTCTTTCCTTTCTCCAAAAGGCTTTAGTCCTGAAAAGGGAGAAAGTGTGTGCTCTTCTGTCTAGACTCTTACGCGCTAGTTGACCACTGCCCCGTAACCCTTTTCCCGTCTCGAGAATTTGGCCACGTGTGCCAATGCCACGTCAATTTATGCAATTGCACAATTTCTGGTAATTTGAAGGCGAGGGTGCACATCTGTATAATCGATCGAGAGCCAATCTAAAGAGGTTAGGTAGAAATTACTGGGCCTTGTTAATGAATGTGACATTCATCTGCGCACCGGCGCCATTTCCGGCCAAGATGGGGTGTCAGCCTAAAATGTAAAAAATTGTGGTGAACCAAGTCCACGAACCGAATCCAACCATAAATCTTTTTTTGGCATCGGGAGGCCGCTCTGGACAAATAATTATTAGCTCCGTGTTCCATGCGTGTGCCCCTATACCATGCAAAAAACCGTTTTGAAAATGCATGGCACGACCCGAAACTCTTTCCCACTAGGGCTTCTCAGTTACCAAACTTCTGATCCATACAGCTGCTTGTTTGGAATTTTTTTTTGCAGTTTTCTTCCTAAATCTGAAATACATCAATTAAGCCTCCAGAAATCCTCGTATCAATTACTTGGCAGTTTCGGTGAACCGCCCATAGAGCGCAGTAACGATATTGTAAGACTGTAACCTGTATCGATTGAATTCTTTGTTGATGAGCTAAGCGTGGACGGGAGATAAACGGGCGTTTTCACATGTTCCCGTGTTACACATTTTACATGCCCGCGCTGTACTATCACATTACTCTCTAATCCTCTAATTGCTAATTAATAGCGAATTCTCGATTATTGTTCATTGTTATGCCACGGAAACATAATAAACGCCCGCTTTCTTTGTGAGTCTCTACTGTTCTTACTCGCTCATTAGCGCTAGAATCATTTCATGGGATATCATATTTTACGACAACACTTTTTATTCGTTTAGGACTATGCATGTGCCAGAGCACATATCAGTCACCGGTCAAGCATTAAGTATTGGCAGAACGTTGGTAAGATTAGCCTTACTATAGACCTTTTCGTTCCAGTCGATAAGCAGTAACTACTGCACTGCGGTGCACAATAGATTGCACACTATAAAAAACTTAGCTTTTGAAAGAAGCCGAGACCCTCATTGTTTCTACTGGTGGTATGTTTCCCAGGAAGTTAGATAAACAATATTGACGCAATAATCAATTAAATACAGTGTCTTCAAAACTTTTTGGAAAGAAATATCGATTTTTTATCGGTGCACAATAGATTCGGCGACTTGAGATTTTTAAATTTTCTGACAATCTCTTTTCTATTTTTGAAATTCGCGTACACTCACGTATTATGCGAAGTATACGTGACTCAAAATCGAAGACTGGATCCGAACTGACGCGTTACGTCGCCTTGGCAAGGGTTATCTCCAAATTCCTACGGAACCCAATGTTCCTAAGAGTACAGTTGCAACTGTCATGGAGAATCATTGCCAAACTGTTCTAAAGAAGAAGGTAGTACCGAAATCAACTGTTCCTGAGCGCGGCAGGCGGTGTTTTATCAATTTGGCATCAAAGAATGCCTATGAATTGACTGTCGGTTGCAGGATTCCGGTTCCGAAATGGGCCGTGCCTTGCCTTGATCGGACCACTAGATCGACAATAAATGAATTCGGCACTAAGCCTGACTCAATATCGTCGATATGAGTGGCTCCCTGTAGCGAGGAATGAGAGTAACAGAGACTGGGCTGCGGGGTGTCTGGGCACATTTCCAGCTCGATGTTAAATTCTACTTTTCATCTTTAGGGTCTCATCCAGTAAGGGGAGGGGGCATTGTGATGCAACAAGTGGCTGCCCTCACCCCCACCCCTAGACTGCCTTCACTCCCCCTGGCCTACGGGGTCCGCACCTCGAGAAACCTGTGCGTCAGGGGAGTGTCGGCAGTCTAGGGGGGTGGGGGTGAGGGCACCCACTTGATGCCCCCCTTACTGGATGGGGCCCCATTTTTATTTTTTCCTCAGGTAATTTCGCTCCATGAGATGTTCAATGGAGATGGGTCGGGTGAATGGAACTCGTACTGGCACGTTACAAGGACAGAACCATTATTGGTGACTCGAAGAGACATCGGTGGCCTCTCGTCAATGGTGTGGAAGACATTCTGTAGTGATGTCACCCTTATGATTCAATTTGATTCATGTGATTGAGAAGTCAGGACTACCAGTCACTTCTTAGTAACACGTTGGTCCTACTCGTTCAGAAGAACCTCAACAAGCATTTCGTCTTCATGCAAGAGAAGGGTTTGAACCATACGTCGCGGAATACTCCCTCCCACTTACAATCTGACTATTAACACAACAACTTATTATTGTGAGCCGGCATGTAATCCTGTTCCCAACTCTGTCGGGAATATGTGGAGTATACTAACGCGTAAGATCTACTCTATCTCTCATCACAAAAGAATGGAAAACTCTGCCACCTCTGCTGCTGAGAAAGCCCTGATTCGATACCTGATTTTAGCTTCAAGATTGCTAAGAAGAGGGGAAGCATCAGTCATTGTTCGATGGGGTGAGAAGGGTTTACTTGTTGTTTTTTGATCCACCATACATATCGTTCAATCTATTTTGCACCGGCTTGGGAAATGAAAAATTGTTGTCGCAAACTTTAAATAAGTAGCAATGTCAAATAAATACCACCGCTATTATTGCTTTGTCTATTTCTAAACTTCAAAGTACGCAGAAGCAATAAACATTTCGTGAAAATTAAGTTTTCCATGGGGTGCAATCTATGGTGCACCGCAGTGTATTCCGCTTGGTGCTTTTCTTTTTTTTGGTTCAATTTTCTGTAGGAACCAGAGGTAACGGATCAAGAACGTGCAGTTACAATGATGAACGTGCCTGACCGTATCGTGTTAACTGGTGGCAACAGCTATCAAGGATTCGCTTCCCAGCCAACGGATTTTATGGAGGACCCTTCACTATCTTCTAACGAGGTATCCGTGAATACTCTTTTAGCCAATCATTACGATAAATTGAGCCATGACCATTCAGTAACTATGGTAAGATGGCCCAATAAGATTTTCCTAGTTGCGTATTAATTTATGTAATTTCTGACCCGTATTTTTTGAGCATTGGCAGGCACGCTCAATTTCGAGGATGATTCGTGTGATATGAGGCGTGATATAATTCTGGGTAGCTTGTTTTGGAACAGAGCTCTCAAGAAATTGTGACATAGTATTGTATTAGCAGGTGGAATCAGCTCTTTTGGAGTTTCGAGCTATTGTTCTATCTAGACGCGCGACACATATGACAGCCTAATGTCCTAGTTTCTGAGTTTTGAGCATGTTAAAGAAAAGCAAATTCAAAGAGTAGACGAATCATGGAACAGTTTCCACAAGATTTGGATTGTAATAGGACAATTTCATCTAAATTATCAGAACAAATGAATTCTTAGTTGCTACTTGCATACAGTGAACGCCTGGCCGGAACCGGTTCCCAAAGTGTGGAACTTTGCAGTTCTAGTTTTCCCCCTAATCCATGGTGTGCAAATTTGATTGACCAGTTCTGTCGTGGTCAACTGTGGTTCTGTCATTTTACAATTGTCATCTAAGACTAGTATCTAATATAAAAAGGGGGTGTACGATCCCACCCTGCATGTTTTCTAAAATGTGTCCATTGCTATTGTCATTGTTTGTCATATTACTGTGGTACAAAGAAATGTGAGCACCATTTGTTTGTTTCCAGAACTGCTTGTTGAATGTACCACCTTCAATAACCCTTGCTGACATACCTGCCCCTGATTCAGGCGACGAATACAATGCTGGTGTAGGTTTTCTAAATTCTTGTAGATACCCTGTTCGCTGACGAAGGTGCAAACTTCACGCCCATAACTTCTGAAGTGGTATTTCTTTCAGGATGAATCGGCTCGATGTGACAGCTCGATGGCAGTCGATGAAAATCCTATACGAGAGCTCAAGATCATGCGACGACAAATTGGTAAGTAGTCTTGTCTATAACATGACAGCTATTTTCTGTAACTGTAATTAACAAACAAAACAAGTCCTATTTTCTGAATTGTTTAAGGAGGACTTTCATCCAGACTTTATCAATTAGAGGACGAAGTCCATAAATACAGATCCAAAGAAAAGGTTCGTTAATATAGCACTTCAATAACCTTCTACTGCTACTTAAAATCGTATTATCGTATTAGTTACTTCCAGCTTCTTCTCACTACCATATTTGGTATAGCCACTGCATTTCTCCTCACTTTGTTCAAGAGATAGACTTCTCCCCTTTACTTTCAGTGTCTTTGACTTGGCCTTACTGCATTTGTTGTTACATTTTGTCTGTTCCATTGCTTGAGTGTTAAGTACTTAGTCTTTCGTTGATTTGTCATTTGCTGAATATGACTTTTGTAAATAGTATTTATTCTTACTCTAAAATCTCAGAGTACTTTCACGTGTGTCACATTGTATGGTAGACATTGCTTGAATCATTGATTATGGGTACAGTTCACAAGAGTAAAGAATGCGCTCTGTTGTTGGTGATTGTGAGTATTCGTACTTTGAGTGCGAAGTGCGGTCTCAGCACGTACTTTGATCCCGTACAGCCCGTCGCCATCGACTCTGTTGATTCGAACTTCTCACTCAAAACTTCTGTCTAGGTTAGCAGCACATCAATGTCTTGAGAAGAAGTCCTGTCAGTCTTCAAAGGTAATTACTCCTATTCCATTTGCTTTCAAGATTTAGTAGAAATGCCATTGTACCAGGAGCAGTCAACATTGATTGTGACGGTATTCTGCTTGGAAGTCCTTTCTCATTCATTAGCTTTCTACTGTAGGAGATTATTTTCGTCGGAGTTTAACAGATTAATTTCCAGCATGGTTTGCGTGCGGGCTCTGTCGATCTTTACTAGACGGCTCTTGTCAGGTTAGCGTTATATTGCATTAGGTGAAGACAGCTCAACGTGTTTTTATAGATGCAGTCGATGTGAACAAGGCAGTTCTCAAGTTAGGCTCTTTACGCGTTCCGATAAAAGAGACTAGTCGGCCTGAGTTGGTTCCTGCACGATTCAGCGGTTAGTGTTTGTCTAGACGTTGTTTTTTGTTCGCCGTGCCTTGTCTTATCCTATCGATAACTAGTAGACACAATAGCAAGCACAGCAATGTTCTTGACTTTTAAGCGTTTGAAGTTCAAACTCCTGATGAAGCGTTGAGCCATTTGAAGTGGTTGCTGCAGAAAGAGATTTTGGGTCAAGACGTGTTTCTAATCGGAGTTCCGGGTGCGCTACGCTCTGACATTGTCTTGCAGTATTTGGTATGCTCTTTTACATGGTCACCAACAGATTTTTCGAAATTTTTCTGCACTTGGCAGGAGTTGTGCAATCGTGAATATGAGTATCTCGCAATTACAAGAGACACAACAGAGAGCGACATCAAGCAAAGGCGAGAGATTCGTAGTGGCACCGCATTTTACACCGATCTTGTGAGTGACTAGCTCGGTTTTTTTTTCTATTTACATGCTTAATTTTCTCATTGAACAGTAATATCACTTTAGTGCGCCGTTCGGGCAGCACTGCAAGGACGGATCTTAGTAATTGACGGTGTGGAAAAAGCAGAGCGCAACGTGCTGCCAATCTTGAACAACCTCTTGGAGAATAGGTAATTCATTTTCAAATAAACTGCAGGTTCTCTTGCATTGTGATTTTTCTGTAGCTCCATTCATCCTACCTACACTATTTAAGGGAAATGCAACTTGACGACGGCCGTTTCCTTATGCGACCTGACAAGTACGACAAGCTCACAAGTGTGGGAGTTTTCGCTGGTTCTCTTGTGACGCTAATTATTTGATTTGTCCAAAAGTTACTTTATTCAGAACTACAATGTGAAGGAACTCAAAGATATGGGTATTGAACGAGTTTCCGAGCGTTTCCACGTAATCGCACTTGGGCTTCCCGTTCCGAGATTCCATGGCAATTCGCTCGATCCTCCTCTACGGTCCAGGTTCCAGTGTCGCAATGTTACTGAGCCATCTTTCGAGGTACACCCAAGCATTCATAGTTTTTTCTGTAGGGGTTCTCTAGATTCCGATCCCGAAGTGAGGTAGCGGCTTCAAGTTCGTAAGAATTTGAGTTTTGCAAGTAAAAGCATGGCACCAGTTTTACATGATTGCCATACTCCCAGCACATTGGTTTATATTGTACGTTAATGTTGAATTTCTTCGCAGAAATCCGTTCACTATTTGTGTCTGTGCTGTTCAGATTCTAGTTGTGTAAGTTTCAGTTTTCGTGCATTTAGTGGAACAAAGATCAGAGGTTTCACAGGGAGTGATGACTCTGTCCCATCAGAGGTTGTAGTTCTCTTCTTTTACGGATAAATTCAGAGTGTTCGACGTCTTTGCACCGCTCTGGCACCAAACGTGAGCTCAAATTCGATTAACGATCTGCTGTCACTCATGTACGCTATAAACTCGCAACCAGACCTAGGTCTTTCCCTTGTCCCAGTGGAAAAAGCTGAAAGAATAATGAAGATATGGGTGAGTTTTATAGTTTTCTGCTCGCTTTGTCTTATACAAGGTCTAATTTTGTCAGAACATCAATCCACTATATACTCCTGAGTACATGTTCAACCTAATGTACCCATACAAGAGCATGTTCAAAGACCATCAGGTCAAGGTCGCAGAAGAATTCATTCAAAAATTTCTCACCGAGGTTCGTGTGCTATCTAATCAGCCTGAAGTCACTTTCTTAGACAACTTTATTAGGTATTGGTTCTCTCCTTATTTCTTTTTCAACTTTCAGGAAAACAATTCTCATGGCCCGAGTGCAGTTATAACTCAAGTGAATTCTTCGGCTGAGGGAGGGTCCACGTCTATAGAAGTGGAGCATTCTGGAAAAAAACGGACTTTCTTGGTATGCTACTGTTTCTGGATTTACCATTAGCCATTTGGACGGCATGAGCTGCGAGTTCTAGACAGATGTGAACGGAAAACCTTCGGCCGAAGATCGCGGCTTCGTTTCTACACTTAAGCAGGAAACTTTGCTTGCTGACCTTGCAATTGCACATTCTCAAGGAGACTTTGCATTATTAGGTAAAGTTATGTGACAATTTAATCTTTCATGCTCATATAAAAGCTGTGATGTTAAGGAGCAAAAGGATCAGGGAAGACAAAGCTGATTGCTGAATTAGCCGCTCGATTAGGGTTTAGCACTGAAACAATGATATTGTATCAGGTGGGGTTGGATAAATCTCTCGATTATTGGAATTTCTTCCTTATCAAGCACTTCACTTTTCTGTTTGACCATGCGCGCTATATCTTTAGGATATGAACGCACGAGAATTGCTTCAACGGCGTCGCATGCTGGATAACGGGGATACGCTGTGGGAGGACAGCCAGTTGGTTGCAGCAGCAAAGCGTGGAGACGTTTGCATTCTTGATGGGGCGGAAAGAGTGCGTTCACCAACTTTCTCTTTCTCGGCTATTCCTTTACTTCTTTCCGTTTCTGAATATCTAGTATGTTGCGGGTCGTGAATTTTTTTGAAAACTTAAATTTTAGGTGCATTGGAGCGCTTTGGAGTCATTGGCAAGCCTTTGTTACCATCGCACATTGTTTCTTCCAGACGGAAGTCGTTTAGTGGGTTCTGATGAATTCGACAACATTCAGGAAAAAACAGGAAATGACGAAGCACATTTGAACACGCGGTAGATCTGACCTTTTTTATTACATATCAATGATGTTTGGTGAAATCAATTCATGCATTCCAGTGGAGTGTTTCGAATACCGAAGTCGTTCCGTCTTGTTCTCATTGGAAGCTCTTCTTTGTCTGAGAACAAATGGTTGAATGAAACGGTCATCAGTCTCATGCCATTTCTGACGATGCAGAGGCTCAGCATTGAGGACCACTGTACCATACTCCAAGGGTGTGTTACTTCGAGTACCATCTTTAGCCTCATTGAACAGTACCTCGGACTTCAATATACTGAACAGTTGCAACTATCAGGGCCGATTTAGTCGGCCTGCTTTCCCACACTGCTAGGTGCCTATGCTCATCGTAGGCCAAAATTTCTTTCGCAGCCACATGTGTTCAACTCGCCTTTTTTACTTTGTCACCAATTTCCTCAACATGTTTACACTCTTTATGTAACTCTCTCAGATCACTTGCTGTAATCACATCCTCTTTCCCGGTCTTCCAATCACTGTCGCCATTGTCATTTCCTTCTCATCTCAGTCTTCCGTCACCTTCCGAGACCCCGGCACATCTATGAGATTTGGTAGATAATGCACCATACACCGACGCCGTTTCAATAGACATCTGCTGAAACACAGGAAAGAAGAGGCACGCATTCTCAGGAGCGCATTAGAATTTTAAATTTAAATACTGTATTCAAGAGTTAGAAGCTATCTCCTTTGTGGTACAAAGCTCCAAGCCCTCACCTTCCTATTTATTATGACTAATCAGAGCATTATTTGCAGCATGGTTCCTGCCGAAGCGAGTGAAACTACTAGAAAGTTGGTAGAATTTGTCGAGAACCTACAGTCATCCGGAGATGCAGGCGTGAGTTGATTCTTACTTTAATTATCAATGCTTCCAAGGCGTATCTGCTAAATTAAGAACATTTTCCAGCTTCGTGGTGTTGCTGAATCGCTTTCAATCCGAAAACTAATCCACATTGCTAAACGAGATTGTCTGCATTCAGGAGAGCTTCGAGATCTAATTGAAAAGGCTGCGTTAGCAAGGTATCAGTTTCAATCGATTCAATCCTATTACAATTCAGAGCTGAATGTATGTTGCATTATAAGTGAATAACAAGTTAGTTCTCTTTTTGGTCCCTCGATTAAATTTCTTCGTTTTGCTACAGATTTCTTCCCTCTGTCACACGATTATCATTTTATACTGAACTTGATAAAGCGGGATTCTTGAGGGATTCTTCAAACTCGGCTGGTTGGTCGCTATTTCTTTTCACTCAGTCAAACTTAATTTCAACAGTTCTGTAGAAAATAAGTTATAGAATTTGTCGACGACATCAAATATCTTTTGGATCAGAATGCTGTGGAGGACAAAAAGGAAACAATGATACCAGATGTTTTGTTTTATGAAAACGACCAGGTAGGAAATTCATTACAATATTAACAGCAGCTCAACTCATGCTTTCTTCCTTTATTCCACTCAACAGTGTTTTGCAGTCTACTTTAGCTTAGCATATCTCCACGGGATAGAGATTACTCAACACCTGGTGCCAAACATTCCTTATGGAATTCGTATTAGTCAGATGGTTGGGCTTAGAAGGCATTACCGACTTTATTCCGAATATTTCAAAACTCGTGAATATAGGAATACCTTCAATTTGTTTGGAATTTCTACCGATTCGCTGTAGGAAGGATTAGGCTGGAGTCAGAGTGCGATCCTTCCTAGGGTTCGCCGATTTTCGCGATTTGTGCGATCCACGCGATTTTCGCGATTTGCGCGATACACGCGATTTCGCAATTTGCACGATACACGCGATTTTCGCGATTTGCGCGAAACGTGCGACGGATCGCAAAAATTGCAAGTGCCCCGTTTGAGCATTTGAAACACTGAATTCGAAACAAGCGGATGGGTATTCGTCATTCACCCATCGCAATCAAGCAAAAGTGGCTACGGGATTGGAGAACACCTTGCAGTATTGATCGGACATTTATGATATCCGTGACCCGTCACGTGAATGGCGCGAATAGCGAAGATCAGCGAAATCTGCGTCGGATCGCGGACTCTGACACCAGCCTTAGTGTTGTGGTGAATTGTGGAGGGGGAGGTTACTATCAGAAAACATTGCTCGGCCTCTTGCTCGGGCCTGTATCCAGTACATGCCATATTCTTGCTCTGTTTCACGACATACCGATTTATGATAAAGCATTGCATTATTACCTTGAATCATCCTTGACAATTGGATGGGGATTGCTTATAGCATATGAGTGTTATTCGGGACATGGCACGTGACATGAGGTTGGGAGCACATCTTCTGCTAATAGGAAATCAAGGTGTTGGAAAGAACAAGATTACGGACCGTTTCCTTCATCTCATTCAACGACCTCGGCAATACATGCAGCTGCACAGGTACGTACTTTTGGAGGTTTTAAAAATTTTACTCAGAGTCTATTTTATATGCACTTTCATTGGTTGCTTACTTCCAGGGATACGACTGTGGAATCGCTAACAATGCAGACTACAGTAGAAAGTGGTATTTTGCGTTATGAGGACTCCGCTCTTGTACGAGCCGCTCGAGCAGGACATGTACTTGTCATTGATGAAGCAGATAAGGCTCCTCTACATGTTATCGCCATCCTGAAGAGTCTTCTTGATTCCGGTGAGTAAAGTTTTTCATAGCTCCCTGGAAGAACGTAGAACAGGAAGTATTTTTGTGTCATTTACTACATCTATTTACATACATCTATCGTAGATCTCAAAAACCAACCGTGTTATAACAAAAACCGCTTTTGGGGAGAGGAACATTTTTGCCATCACAAAAATATAGAGTAGGCCAGGTCTACAGCCTTTTCGACATGGTTGTGGTAGAGCTCTGATTTCCATTTAAAAAGCATAGACTTGTCCCATTAACGGCCGCCGTTGTGCGTGCAGTGCAGCAGTTTTTTTTTCATCTTTTTTTCATACTTTTTTTCGTTGACCATTCGAAGACTTTATCATTAGTAACGAATTAAGTTCTCGAACCAATCTTTTTCTTAAATCTTCTTAAATCATTTTATGTTCCAAGGCATCCCATTGATATGAACGGGTTCGAATTCTTCGAACCCGTTAACATCAATGGGATGCCTTGGAACACAAAATGCTCATAGATTGAGCAAAATGAATCTTTTTAATGTTACAGTGTGACCCTCCGGCTGGTGCGCTAGCATGGGGTAATTATCTGGTTCACTTCATTTCAGGAACACTTTTGCTGGGCGATGGAAGACGAATACAGCCAGCTTCAGCTCCTCCTAGTGAACGCAGCATTCCGTTGCATCCCGACTTCAGGATAATTATGCTGGCTAATAGGCCCGGATTTCCTTTTCTTGGTAATTTTGATTCAGTCCGCATGGAAACTGCAAGGATAAATTGTGAATGTCACTTCAGGCAACGACTTATTCGGCTTGCTTGGTGATCTTTTCTCTGTACACACTGTTGATAATCCTAGTCGAGACAGTGAACTGGAAATGCTCAAAAAATATGCTCCTAGTACGTTTCTTTGAATACCATACTCATTACTGTACTAAAGGCAGCGATTACGATAAAGAGGGAGCGCATCGGGAAGTATGTGCACCACCGATGCAGCTACTTGGCTGCCAAGGATGCGAGGGTGGCGCGAGGTTGGCGAAAAGTGCGCTGGTTGCCGAGCAGGATTTCGAAAACACTCCGCCCCTGAAAGCGATCCGCCCACTAGCTTAGTTGATGATTTGGACGAGCAGCGTTGCTAGCAGTGGCATAACTGGAGCAAATCGATTGGAGTTTGTTGGGCATGGAGCTACCAAACGCGCTGCGCTGGACTCGTTCATACATCTACTTTCTGAGAAGCTACCTGTTCATGAGTAAAAAACAAAAAGGGCCAAAAAAGGGGTCCCATTTTGACTTTTTTGACAGTTATCTCCACACCGGCGTACCGTTGAGCACCACACGGCTCCTCTAACCCCTCTCGAACCTATCGTAATCGCTATCTTAAAGTTTCATGGTGTCATCAAGCAAGGAAGTACGTTGTCAATCGGTGTTTCAGAGGTCGAGGATGGCATACTCCTAAAACTGATGGCAGCATTTACTGAGCTGCGGGAGATGGCAGATGAAGGCTTATTACAGTATCCATACTCTACAAGGGAGCTCGTTAACATTGTCAAACATATTAATGTGGGTTTTTTGTTTCACATTATTCTTTGTTTACTGTAACAATTTCAATAGACTAATTGCTCCAAATTTCAGCAATTTCCAAACGATTCTCTCAGTACGGTTATACGAAATGTTTTTGATTTCGATGCGTTCACCTCAGATGCAATCACAACTATCCAAAGCGTGTTTCAGAAGCATGGCATTATGTTCGGTTGAGTTTCATGTTGCTGCTATGTTTTCATTTTGTTTTCTTTCCTTTCAGAGAATAAATGTTCAAGCAAAGCTTTATCTTAATACACGCGATACACATGCTCAGCGGTTCTTGTAGTGAGCACTTCTTCCTTAGTGTAGAGTGGGGCAAGACCAGAAGGCACATTGTTTTGTGTAGCGTGAAGAGGTAGGGATTCGCTCATCAAATTAACAGTGCTGCACTTGGTGAACGGACTGCGTGATGACTGCGATAGTACATATAACGATCCTCGGAGCTGTTCCACGACGCTGAAGAGCTCATATCACTCATCTATCAATAAAAGTGTTGCGTGCATTTGATAACATCAATGCAAACTATTCTAGGTGTTGAAAGACCGAGGGAGTCCATCTTTATGTCGCATCGCTTTCCTCTCGAGCCGTCTTTGTCGGTCGGTGAATGGGGCATCCTCGATAATGTCGTTCCAGCGGATCTTAAAACAAACGTTGTTTCGTTTAATGTCAAGGTACATTTTGATAGTGTGAAAGAGGATTCACGAGTTTTCAACTTCTTTTGCGCACAACACATTTCGTATGTGTTGAGCTATTCACTTGGAGATGTGTTTGAATTGCTATGGAACCGTGTAGCTTTTCAGGCTGAAATACCACTAAATGGGAAACCATTAAGACTAAAAAAGGAGCACATGCGCACGAAACAGTTCACAGAGCAGGCAAGCTTCCCGTTCATGACCGAAATTTCATGGAACATCCATAGTATTTGTTACTTTTCTAGGAGTGCGCCTGGCAGATACCAATGCTCGATGTGAACATATGCTCAGATGGTCTGGTGATGGGAAATTCCTTACTGGTCGCAACTGTGAATCCTACACGAATTTACCTCATTAACGACTTGGATTTAGCTGAAGAGGTATGGTTCTTGTACGTCCACCGTGGCAAGATGTGCGGACCCAGTAGCGTAGTTGCATTAAGAGTATAGAAACCTCCCGTTCTTAATTTTTATATTTCTCGTGTTAGTTTTCTATTTACGTTTAGAGGAGTGTCCCTAAAAGGGCGTTTCCACTGTTTCGAACAACTGCTCCGTGATCACGCATTGGGTAATCGGAGCCCAGTGGGAGCTAAGGGGGTAGAACTGCGTAAGGATTGCATGTTTATCATACGGCAAAGCTTGCAGTGCGACGTTAGGAGCACGTCCTTCCCCGTAAAGAATTCCCACCACCAGCATTTTCAGGTTATCACCGCGTGTGCTATTAAGATTACAGTGACAGCTCATCTTGCCGTGGCAGTCAGAGTATATTTTGATAGTGTAACAGGTTTATGAGATCGACATCTCCTCATTGCTTTCGCGAAAGAAAAAGCTGAAGTACGAGCCCAGACTCAAACTGGCTAAATATGGTGAAGGAATGTTTTTGGTCCATGAAGAAGTAGTAAGTTTGCTGATGACGTTATTTTTGTTCAATCTTTGAATTGGGTCTCATCCAGTAGGCGGGAGAGGTGAGGGAGGGTGGATGTGGTGGTAGAGTTGGTGCCGTTCACAGAAATTCCAATTGTGCCAGGAGAAGGAAATCCAGTGAACCATCTTGTCTTCGTTTTACACTCACCCCGGAGCTTTCTTCTCTTGCGAAAAACGATTACTTTGGACAAGATAAACTATCGCACCACAACCTCCCCCTTTACTGGATGTGACCCGAACTTTCTGTCAGTCTGTATTTACCTCGACAGTCTAATTTTAGTCTGGCTCACTTTGCATGGTTAACTTGAAGAGAAACACGATACAGCGTATCGAACTTGGGCAATCTCCCCTGTTGAATTTGGCAAGTAGTGAGTCAATGAGAATTTATTCTCCTTTTATAGCTCCTACCGCCTTCAAACATTTTGCCAGGCATGCCATCTGCGCTGCCTAGTGTCGAGAAATTTTTGCTGTGCTAGCCTTTGTAAAACTTTTTGCTTTTATGCGATTTTCGAGTCATTTCAGTGTTTGGAAAAGCGGAGTACCGTCTTGTTCAAGGGGCTTGTCCTCTGCTTTACACGCGTGATGGTCGTCAGATTTTCCACTTCGGTCCTGAAGGCTTCGTCACTCATATGGAGTTAGGAAGTGAAATAAGCCAGATCTTCTCAATTGACAGTGACAAAATTCTTGCGAAAATGAAGGTGAGCTCCTTGGCAGTCTCTTTCACAGAAAAATATAGGAAATCACTCTTTATGCGTCATGTGGTTATTCTTCTAACATCTAATTGGTCATCACCTTGTTCCCACTCTTGATTGCAGAGTGGCCATTACGATCTTCTGTGCCACGAATCTGGCCAGTGGAAGGCTCGACCTGTTCGTGCAGATTTTGGAAAGGCTCTTGATATCGATAGTTTACGTGTCCTAAATGGCGCTGTATTCTTGTCAGCTGAAGGCTACCATTTTCTAAAAAGCTCTGCATTTCCACTTCTTTTGGTAGGGTAGCTATTAAAAATACTACTATTAGTTCCACCATCACTACTATTGCAAATTCCTCTATTCAATAGTTGGTAAACACAGAGTGCTACAGACGTCGTTGGAAGCGTCAGACCAACTCCACCTAACGTCGTGGACGCTAGAAGACCATACTATTTGGCAGACGATGTAACTAAGAAATTCATCGATCCTGATCGAAATTTCATAGTCTTACGGGACGGCGTTCTCGTCAAAGCTCAGCCCAAATGGAAAGTGCCTAAGGATGTCGTAGGCGAAGGTACTTTTTTGCTCCCTGGGATTTTCAGTCCCGAGGTGGTAATTTATTTTTGTTCAGAAGCACTCAGCGCCCACCGAATTGGAGGTTTCCTGGAAGCTGTGAACGCAGATGGTGGTTTTGTGCAATATATTCCTGTTCCTGAACCTTACTATCACAGCTATCATGGGTGAGTGAGTAGTGCTAAATTGTTTACCATTTCACGTTTATGTAAGGGCAGAACACATCGTCGCTGCGTTGTTACAGAAGCCTTATTAGTATCCTATCAGTTCCATTGTGTTTACTTATTTATGAACCAATCACATTTGAAAATATGCTTGTTGTTACCATTATATGTTCCGTTCACGTACTACGAGGTCGCGTTCGACCTACTGCGCAGCATAGGCGCGGTGACGGTGCAGACTCGGGTTACCATGGTCTCTGATGTCGTTTAGCACGAGCTATTATGAAATCATTCATAAACGGAATTTGTTGCCGAACAAGTTTTTGGATGTGTAATTCAAAATGTGGGATTATTCGTTCCACCATTCAAAATATCAAACACGTAGAACTTTTAAGATGAGCCTCTTCACACGGACAGTTCTCTGCAGGGTCGCATATCGCAAGGCTAGGGGCATTCGCTGCTAACGCAAGAACTTATGGCATAACCTTTCAAGCACAAAACAACACATTTCAGCTCTTGTAACATCAGCTAAACCTTTCAGATGAACAGCACTTACGAGAGAGTGACGTCAAAAACTACAAATTAGCTCCTGTCCAGAAGCTTCTTTTCCACTCTTTTTCTTTGATTTGTTTGAATTTTCGTTAGCTCCCTCAAATCCTTTTTCATCAATTGCTTAAACGCTCCTGCGAATGCCATAACTTTTGATGTGATTTCTTATTAACATTAACACAAGCATCTGCAGTTCGTACGTCATAGAAAGAAGCGAAGAAATTGTATTAGAATTAAAATGAAGAAGTAGGAGTGAAGCCCCTAGCAGGTTGTAACTTTAAGGAAATTTCGAGCAAAGTACGATGCTCCTGTCTTGCTATAGTGCCCTCTACAGGGCTTTATTGACTAGTGTATGTGATCTAGCCCACAAAGGCTAAATTACTCTGGTCAGGACAATCGCAAAACAGTTCTTATGTAGTGGTACTATCTAGTTATGGAACACATTCGTTTCATTTTGAATGGCAAGCTTGAGCATTTTCAGCTCATGGTGTGCTACAATCTCTCAAACTCCGTTCATTATGGTTCCATATAGTGACGAAAGGATGCTTACCATTGATACAAGTGGTGGCATACGTTCTTTCGAACTTTCTCCGACTACGTTGCGGAAGGCATTCCGAGAGTGGAATCGCATAGTAGGGGGTGAGCAAAATTTTAATACCCACTACTGTGATGAGTTCCAGATTCTGTTTGGATAGAGTATTCCTATAAAAAGGCCATTTTGGATCATACTGACTGCTCAATAAGGCGATAGTGAACTCTTAGGGCGAATGAATGGAGTGTAGCCTGAGCATTTTGTGTCATGGTCGGCGAATTTCCGGTTTGATTTCCTTCCTAGATATGTGGGTACATAACAATCATGGTTCCTTTTTCTAGAGGGTGGAAAAATCGCTTGAAATACTTCTGTGTTCACGTAGTTGGCTCGTGGCTTCAATAGAGTATATCACTCTCACAAGAGTGTAGCCACATATAGGAGATGGCCCCGGTCAAGCAATTAAGCATTAGCCCTTGATCAATCCTTCTTCGGGGTGCGTCACCCATTCTACTTCAATTTGAACATTCATAGTGGCGTATGCGATTCGGCCTTTACAATGATTTGCGGGAACAGCCGATGTACAAGTCAGTGCTTTTTTATCCTCCCAAACGATTCTGGTACCAATTAACCGACTTCAGAAATTTTAAGGCTTGGTTGGCCCGGACGACGCACGACCCAGGATTCGATCCCCGGACCGCGCACGAAATAAGCAGCGCCACTTGTCACTACACCACTTCCACCCGCACCATATGCTTCTGGCAGAAAATTGTTCTGCTTTTACAAATATATTATGAACCTAGAGTTTCTTCGGCATTAGCGTCTGCCGGCACTTGCGAACTATTTTTTGCATTGTTTTCTTTTAATCCAATGGCGGCAGTGGTGTAATAGTGACGCTACTTGCTGCGCGCCCTTTCCGGGCATCAAAACATGGGTCGCGTGCCGTCCAGATCAGCCAAGCCTTGAACTTCTCCAGGGTGGCTAAAATGACACCAAACTTGTCTGAAGGGTGACAATCGTCTTTTTCAAAAAGTTGCCTCCGCAAGTCATTAAATGCTGAAGCGCATTCTAAATGCCGTTACGATTCTGATTTAAGTAGGATGCGTGGCGCATCTCATTAAAGGATTGATCAGCGCCAAAGGCTTTATGTTTTTTCTTTGCTTTCACATCGCATACTTACTTGTTAAAGGAGAGGAGGACGACGACCTACGAATAGAATTCGAACGTGACTCTGATGCTTTCGACATTTCGAAGTTGAACGATCCCAAAGTTGGGAAATTCGATCCCAAAAATACTCCGCATCATGGAGGAGACACGTGGATGGGAGGAACAGGAGGATACAATACAGCTGGTTTGGGAGGAGTGGGTGGTCCATTCAGGTATAGGGTCGATTTGTTGTTTTGTCAGCCTACAAACTCATCTGATGTTGTTCTCAGTGGCCTCTAGTTTAGATTCGACGCAGGTCACGATGTATATCAAATGCCCGATTCAGCCAAGAAACAAGTACCTGAATATATCTTGAAGAAAGCTAGACAAGTAGCTAGAACGGAGTATCAAAAGAAGCTGAAGGTGTGCTAATCATGGGCTTTGCGGATGAATTTGTATCTTTTGGTCACGACGCGACATCGCGCAAGTTTGCGGCGTGATGTGCATGCCTACTTATTCGACACTGACCAGTGGTGATCATCAGTTCGCTCTAGCCGTTTGCAATGAAGTGTAAGAATATGCATGTTTGCTTTCTATGTCTGTTCTCTCGCTTTCTCTCTGGGCGGAGTTACAAAATTTTGCTCGCCAATAGTACCCGAATGCTACCGCAGGTGACCAAGCGAGACGGTATGCGTTGCTGTGCAATGTGTTGCAATGTGTAGTGGTAGCGCTTCTGAGTGGTAGGTGAGAGATCGTGGGATTGATTTTGGTTGGTGTGCTGTAGCTCAGAAACTTCGATGCAAATAGGAGCGACATTTCAATCTGGCCAATCTATTATATTATGGGTCTTCAAAGTTTGAGATGCGCCTTCTCAGAAATTTGGGGTTTCCACTCCCTTCGAAGAATTTTCCGACGTGTTAGGTGACCCTTTCGGATTTTTGAAAGCGGACCTCATGCACAGTCTAAATCTACTTCAGCCTATCTATCTTCTAATCTATCTAGAAAAATTGAATTGAATGCGTTCAAGGAAGTTATTTACTCTTCAATTTCATCTTCACACATTTTTTTTTATTTATTCTTACCGACTAGCTCAATGAGGCCACCGTGATTGCTCCAGCCTGAAGCTGCTACAGTTTCATTAATCGGTTAAGTGAAAACTAGCTTCCTAGGGATAGTAGTCCTGAGTATACAAGACCCCTTCCGACCTGCTCTTGAGATAACGCCGTAATGGTCCACGACTGGTAGAGGGCCTCACTGAGCATGGGCTCTGCACCAGTTCCCACGGAAAATTCCTCTGACCGATGTCGTCGGTATAGAAGACTATTACGAAATTTTTCGATAGATGAACCATGCTCTTCAATTTGCAAATGGGATCATTCGGTTTGAATTTACTTGTTTCCGTTTTGAATTTGAGGGGAGGGTGCGATTTTTTTCTGCGCTCCCTCCTGTACTACGATCTGTCACGAGTCAGAATGCTAAATGTCTAATAACAATAATTAATTAAATAATAACATGTTTTCGGAGCATCTTCCCCCTTCAGTATCGTACACTCCATTCAATTTTTTTTTCGAATCTATTAACCATATACAGGATTAATTGATATGGAGTGTGAATCTCAAGCACAGAGCATTTGTACTTAATTGAGGCCATCGCGCCTAGTCACGACGCAGCTCTAATCAGGTGCTATAAACTCATTTCCACCACTTGTTACATACCCCAATCATGGCTAGCACTATCGTTACTCCCCAGGTTCAAACATAGGTAGAGGAAGCGGTCACGCTGGCTTTCACGTGGATCGCCGAATTTCGCGTTATCAAGCGGTCGGCGATAGATAGTGTTTGGACGAGCTTGACCCTATGGGAGATGCGATACGATTAGGTAAGGAGGTACGGCTGCTTAGAATGAGGTGCCCTTCAGCATGAAAATCGAACAATAACGAAAACCGTTATCATATCTAGCACGCTGCTGTTGCATCCCCTTCCACGTCTGATAAGGTGATGCAACGCCGAACCGCAAGCGGGTTTCGGCGCCTTATCACGCCATTGATAAGACGCCACTGCCTCTGAAGCCCACTGGGTAGAACCCGTACCCAATCCACTATGTCACCTTCCAAATCGTCTCCATAGGAATTTCCGTGACCACTTCCTTTAAAGGAGGATTTCACGATTAGGGAGGTTGAGGAAGAAGTAATTCACCTAGATGAGTGACCCACGGACCATCTGAGGGTGCGAACTGATGCGCAATTCGCATCGAAAAATTTGACCTCGGCGACCTATTATGCCTCAAAATTGGCGGATCTGGCGATATCCGCCCACCGACCATCTGATCACTCGCCGCATATCTATACGCGGGATTGATTAGATAGCAGAGAGAGGGTGATGTTGAGGAGGGCACAGCGATAAGAGTCGCATCAATGCGCAAATCAGCGGGGAAGGAAGGGGTCCCATTTCTCGGGTTCTGGGCCGTTTCTCATGGTTCTTCCTTCTTTCGTGTACCAATCACCATCCCTGAGTTGATTTGAAATGGGTTGCCTTCCCAGCTTGAATTCGTCCTTTAAATGCCGATGGTTCAAAGGTATAACAGCTAACTCACACTTTTCGTGGTTTGGTCAAAATCTCAGATTTGACTGGTGGTCAAAATCTCAGATTTGACTGGGAACTCGTTTTCTTGGGGTGATTCGATCTCCCGAACACGAATATTCACGTCACTTTGGCTAAAGCAAGCGGCACGTGCACTACGACGCCATGGTCAGCCGTGAACAATTGGTGCCCGATACCTGCTAGGAACTGCTCATCAACTCTTCATACAGGCAACTTTTAGCAAGTATTGATGAAGTGACGAGGTCAGGAACCTTTTCAGCTACTTGCCAAGAAAAGCAGTGAATTAGACTCTGCAGAGAACCGTTAACACTACCCCTTCATGCGAGACCGCGGCACTGCCGCGGCGCTTTCTTAATTTTTCCCCTTCCTGAGGATCGTTTAGCAGATATGGAAGGTAGTTCTGAGCTCCGCGCCTCTAGACAAGTACAGCGATAATTTATCTCATTGCAAATTGGCGAGTGAACCTGATCACCATCCCTGACATGAAAAACTGCAGTCAAATGTGCGCATGGCGAGTAGCCTTTTGGACACACCAAGCAATCTAACTATACGCTTTCGATGAAGTTTGTCACAATGTTTTTTTTTTCAGGAGATCGAAATGTCGGAGTATGACGCTGATGCGTATATGTCTCTTTGGAACAAAATCGAAAAACATTCGAATCATCTACGGTCGATCATCGAACAATTAGAGGCGAAAAAGAAGGAGCGCCAGTGGGCACGACACCAAACATCTGGAGATTTAGATGATGGAAAACTTATAGAAGGAGTCACTGGAGAGCGAAATATATACAGGTTCTATATTCCGACTGAAGCGATTTATCTGCTGCCTGGCATATTCATGTAGTCACCCAGAAGGCAAATAATGCTCACTGATCCGTTGGCTGTACTGCTTTTTGATTTCGCACATTTGCTTACGCAGCTTTCCCTGTATTTTAGACAGCTTGTCCTTCTTTTTTATCAACTCGCACTGACTATATTTTTGTCCCATTTCATATGTGAGACTTCTAGGCGTCGCCTTGATAAGAAGCCAGAACCTGGAGCACCGCAGCTGAAGCCGAAACGGATGCGCTTATGTTTTGACGTGTCTGGATCAATGTACAGATTTAATGGACACGATAAGCGACTACAGAAATCCCTCGAAGCCGCTCTAATGGTCATGACATCGTTCGATGGAAAGCAGGAAAAAGTTGCCGTAAGTTGTACAACTATATCGTTTGCTCTTCTGTTGATCTGATCGTGAGATTGGTCGTTTCAAGTACGACCTCACGGGACATTCGGGAGATGGACCATGCATTGGATTTATCACCAAAGGAAAATATCCAAAGAACAACAAGGAACGTTTGGATATACTGCATCAGATGCTGATACATACTCAGGTTTGTCTTATCTCTACGATTTCTGTACACGGTACTCTGCCTCGGAGAGCGTTTTCGAGATGGTCCTTCTCATTTTTGAGGGGCATCGCGAAGGTTGCAGTTTCGTTCTGGTCCAGCAGTCATCACAGAGTCACATGACGTGTCCCTCTTGATCATCGATTTCTCCGCAAGATAGCGCCGCTAACTTGGACCGTTGTCGGAATTCAGATTCCCTCCATCACTTGCATATGAACCAAGAAATATCAAACATCGTCCATTTTGCAGCGCACAGTGGATAACCTATTCATATGCTTTTCTTGCCTGAGAGTCCTTGCATTTGCACGTTAAAGCAACAATCCAGGAACGAATTCGCGGGTAAGGACCACCAATAATGACGTTGCAGGTGAGAAGTTGGTCAATGGAGAACGAAAAAGTAGAAAAAAATGTCGGGCAGGGGCTTAGACAGGGACTCCCCCCGCCGTTTAGCGATGGGTGAGACGTGTGTTGGACGAGTTGTCCGAGGCTACCCGCAGTACATGCGGTTCAATTGCAACTGCTGGCAACTAGCCATGCATGCTTGCAAATACATGGCTATTTGCCAGCAATCGTAATTGAAGTGCGTTAGTTGCGTTCTTGTAGAATCGACCTCATACAGCGCGGCGGTCCCGCAACGACCGCTAGTCGAGCACGCGCTCTGCACAGCGTATGTTGGGCGATCCGCCTCTTTATGGGTGATCCGCCCCCTCCAAGAGGACTTCGACCCCTTCCAGCGCATTTTAGAGGTAGGTTTTGAAATTAAAGACATTTCCTATAAACTTTAGTTGGGCTGGGGCATGTTGACCGCCTAATGACCAAGTAGTTGAAACCCTGCCTGGACTGTTGCTTTAAAGCAACAGTCCCAGCAGGATTCTTCTTTCGACAACAATGGCGTGGATGGATGCGCTAGCCCTAATCAAGAACGTATGAAGTGCGGCTTAACAAAAACTCTTCGGAAAGCCGCCAGAAAGCAAATTGAGCGCCTTCGAAGTGGGCGTGAGCCAGTCGATTAAAGCCCCCACTTGCCAGCCGTGGGGATCGAGTACTTTAATGCCGGTCTTTGCTCTATTGCGTCTGTGCCACGTTTTAAAATTAGTGCTGTCTCTTTTTGGTTGGTTCTTACTTGCTTAACTCATTCAATTATCGCATTTCTATTTTATTTCTGTTTTATCTATTTTATCTATTTTATCTGTTTCCATCTGAGGACTATATTCTTGGACACCGGTCGTGCAAGCAAATAAATAAATAAATAAATTTCTTTGCTTCTACTGATGCGTAGGTCTCTGCTTGTATTGGTGCATATTCTATTGCGGCCGTATTTCTTTTGGCACGAGTCAGCAGGAAACACCGGCGGCGCAAGCTCCGGGCAGCTCGTCCGACACATCCCTTCCTTCATTTCAATTGGAAAGAGGTGGAGACTCTATAAGGCTTCATCGGCGGTTTTCTTCACTTTTTTTCCCATTAGCAGTCAACTAGCCATCTACAACTTCATTGTCGACCATTTTTCCCCCCGCGAACTCTATCTGAAATTTGTTGCTTCAAGGTAGGCGAGGATGTACACGCCGCTCTTCTCCCTTTCCTCATCTTCGAAACTACCCTCCTTTTCAGAATACGAGAAGACCGTCAGGTGCAGACCATACACCACGAGCGACGACAGTCTCCACAAAACGTGAATGTTTTCTGCCAATGAAATGATAGCTCGTTGCAGTTGTATTCATCCAGTTGTCACTAATTACAACTGTCAGCTACCAAACATCAGCTATCAGTATGAACCACTACTAACCAGATTCACTTTGAGGCCGTCGTCACTTGTGGTGTATGGTCTGCACCCGACGCTCTTCTCGTTTTTTGAAAGGAAGGGTTCCCTAGATGACCTCCCGACGTACAATTAGCTGCATGAAGGTGGAGCGCTCACAAATGCTTGTTATTGAGCGTGAATGATGCGTACGAACCAATCTGTTTCTCATGAATATCGTCTTCCTCAGGTTCAGCTGCTAATCGACCTTTCCTCACGCGCTGGTGAGATTAGTCAGCACTCGCTCTACTTGCTTGATGTTTGGTGTTATAAGAACGATCTAAAGTGTTGATTTAGATGCCGACCTTTGACCTCCATCCCCTTGCATTCTCACCCCAGTTGAAGCATAACATTCTTGACAGCAGCGCTTAAAAAATTTATTTCGAGATGGTGTCCCTTGGAGAACGATCATTAAAGGAATCTTCCACGGACCATGGACCAGTGGGCGGGACCGGAAGTAGTTTTGTGACGAAATGCATGGTAGGTACGGACACATTCATGGGAAGGTTTGAAGTGAATCCTGTTCACGTTCGTGCGTTCGACACGTGGATCAGTACCTACCATGCATTTCGACACAAAAACTTCCGGTCCCGCCCACTGGTCCATGGTCCGTGGAAGATTCCTTTAAGTTGCCAGAGCTTATGAAGAATCCTTATATACTGGTCAAGAACGCGCTCAAAGCCCAAAGCTTCAATAACCGCTTCAGTCCCCACAGAGTCGACGAACTTCTTCAACTCGATAAACGTGAAATATAGCGCCATCTTGAACTCTCCTTCCACTTTCATGATTTTTCAATGGTGTCAGTGTGGTCGATCGTGCTGTGCTTTCTTCCAAACTCTGGTTGCTGCATGGATTCCTTTATTCAGTGTTCTGCCGCCTTGTTGGGGATTATTCGAAAATTTTATGATCACCCCTTCTTGTACCAGCACAGTCCTACTGGTCTCCCACGGATGGATACCTTGCATCTCGACAAGTGGCTCATGAAAAGTCGAGTCAGATGTTCATTACAGGTGGCGGTATTCTCCATATGTTCATGTTCCGGTCTGACCCTTGGAGAACCGTGTGCTTCACGTTTTACCGACGAAATGGCGTGTCGCACTCCAGAAAGGAGAACTGAGAAAACGGCGGATTCATCTTTCTCTAGATGACACACGGAAAGTGGACATGGTGATCGAAAAGGTCGAACTTATGGGGAAAAATTTCAAACAAAAGGCTATAAATGTCAGAAGCGCACCCTTTCTCTTGGATTCCTCTGGGTCATGTAGGGCAGAAGGCTTGACTCGCGATTTTTTCGCACCTTTACAATTAACTTGCGAAATCATTTGAAAAGAGCTTTACCGAGTAACAGAACTCAACTGGTAAACGTTGAGTTACTGCAGTTTTATGCAAGGTAGTTGTTCAATAATTGCAAGTGCGTCGCATCCTTGTTTCTATCATATTTCGTTCATGCTCTGTGGTGCTGTGCACTCTATGACCGGTTTCAGACGTTGCGAAACCAGCGAGTCGTAGTGAATAGCGAGGTACGAGCGATGCCTCAGCGGTTGGAACGATGTACCAGTAACTTGATGTGTTTGAAAGTGACAGGAATGTCTCTCGTTCGCAATTCACTCTCGTTATTTTCCTGGCTACGAGGACATGAAGAGTGACAAAGCACGGGAGCCCGGGAAAGTTGCAGGAGTGAACGTGCGAACGTGAGGACTCAAGCCACTTTCAAACACTGTCACGTCTCTAGCATATCATTCGTTCCGCTGGGGCATCGTTCGAACCGCTGGCGCACCGTTCGATCGCTGGCGCATCGCTCGTACCCCACATTCGCTGGATTCGCAGTCTGACATCGGCCCAAAAAAAAGCTCAACGATGATCACAACTTATTTGACTCACTTCACTTTTTAATCAAAAAAAAAGTGACACTATTTACCAAGGTGGTACAAAGGGAAGCTTTTATTTGTTTCAGTACTGTACAAGCGGCGACTATACGCTTGAAGGTCTTGATGAAGCTATCAAGACTTTGAGTAAGGAGAAGGACTGCGACGAAAGAATCGTCGTTCTGGTCTCGGACGCAAATTTGGATAGATATGGAATATCGCCGAAAGACATTGTGAAGATCATGAATAAGGATGAGACAGTTAACTCTTTCGTGATTCTCATTGGATCGCTCGGACTGCAAGCTCAGAAGTGAGTTTTTTCCCATCGTCAATATTAAAATAAACTAGCTCTAAATACTCTTGAAAATCCGTCAGTCGGCCATGAGGCGGCGTCGCAGGAATTTGATGTTTGCAACACGTGGCACATTTGATAGAGTCGTTCGACTCAGTAACCACGCAGATGTGCGGAACCCAGAACACTGCAATGTTGCGTCAAGACCAACAAACGCTACGCACGGGTGCAGTTAGCCTTAACAGAAAGCGATTTTTACGCTTTTCTCAGCGCACCTTTTTCGCTGCAAGAAGCTCAGGTCCCCTCTTGAGCGAGAGGGACCCTAGGTTCTCCAGTTCTCAGAAGGGAAAAGTTTTTAGCGTTGCGAAAAGCGGAAAAGTCCTTTTCTGACCTAGCGAACCACATACGCTACGCACCTACTTCTTTCTAATCACGCTGATTTCAGAATACAGTCTTCTCTTCCCGTAGGCAAGGCTTTCGTTTGTGAAAATACCTCGGATCTTCCGAAAATCATGCAGAATATTTTTACATCTACACTCGGGTAGTTATTCGTGCCTTCTTGTTAGATATGTGTTTAGTCCTTCTAGAAAAAGTTAGTTATTCATGTACATAGGAAATTTAAAAATTGTACAGTTTATGGAATCCTCACAACACATGCTTTTTAACGTTTTTATTTTGTAACTGGGACAAAGTGAGATCATCTCGAGAGTGTTAGTAACAAATGCAAACACAAATAAAACTGTTGTGCTATGAAGTAATTCTCGATACAGCTTTGCTGAAAGGAGCAATTCGATGCGAGTAACATTTACACATTAGGTCCCAAGTTAAGACCAATAGCTGCAAAATCACAACCTAAGGAACATGTGAGAAGTTATTTAACAATACGATCATTTTTAGTTGCATTGCTAAGCAAGTATATACATATTTGTGAACTTGTAAACGTGTAAAGGAATCGAGCTGAATGGTACAGGTGGTCTGATAAAAAACATAAAACAGACTTAGAAAAAAAAACATGTTTCGAAACAAACCAAAGAAATTAGTGGAAATGGAAGTCAAAAAGGAGAATCTCTGATCTGAACCATTTCCTTTCATTTCTGTTATGGATAGTAAAACGATTAAAAGTAGAGAAACGAGAAACAGAGCTCAGGTTAGAAGCGACACAAGTACATTCGGTCTCTCACTCAACCCTGATTCTGCGCAAGCTATGCCTGAACTGTGAAAAAAAGACATACGAAGGGGTAAGGTCAAGAGTGGCGGTATGATTTCTAGCCTGTTTGAAGGGCTTATTTAAACTAGTTCTCCAAAACACGGCCACTATATCCTCTCCCTCTTATTGAAAACGTCCTTAGAATGTCATTCCTGTTTTCGAAGGGCTATATGCGACCAATTGTGTGCTTTTCCCACCGCTTGACCATCCGTGAACCAGGAGTGAGCAAGGATACAATTATACTCAAGTTTGAAACATGCCTTGTAATGCAAGACATGTGGAGTTGTTCTGCTAAACCCAACTCAATCCTGGTTTAAACGGTCCACTTGGGCTGAAACTAACAGCAAATGAATACCACAAACAAGACATAACGAAAAACCCGGCAGATTCCAATAATGTGAACAAGGCAGTATGTGAAATCCATGTAAATAAACAAGTACTACGGTCACCGGGGCTCATTGTGAGAAAGCATAAGGAAACTGAAATAATCTTAATAAAAGTGATTCTGAAAAAAGAATAGGGCAGAGGCAGCGTAACCCTAGAAGATGTGGGCTGCAATGATCGATCACCACTCACAGCGGACTGATCGTCTGAAATCTTTCGAAACCAGGAAAAGGCTTTTCACAACAGGTTGTGTTTTAAAATGGAAATATGCCCGTTGAGGGGCTACATAGACGGCGCAAATACCACGAAAACTAAGACCTGCCTACTACTGCAAGAATAACGAGATGAAAGGCATAAAAAATACTAAGAATACCTAATAAGCTTGAGGTTTCTGGAGTGTTTTCCGATGTGTCTTTCATTGGAGTTTTGGCTTGAATAAACATCGAAGCGAAACAGATCAACTCTTCGATGCAGCCTGTGCTAATGGTACTTGCTCGAAGTGTTGTCGACGTACTCTTTCGGAAGAAATCGGTTTTCGACGAAATTCTGTGATCGTTGCAGGCACTCCATTGACCACCACGGTAATTTTTTTCGGGAACGTTCTGAAAATGAAATGGAATTATTTTAATATTTATCCATCTCACGACGAAAGCAGTTGTTACCGCCTTGGGCTTCGCGGAAGCAACAAATGGGAATTGAGCGTGCTGATCTACGTAGCGGTCATCGCAGAAGTTAGCGTCGAGTGTAAATGAGATCCACAGCCGGGATAAATGTTATGTTTTTAGTGAACGCGCGTCAAATATCATAATCACATCAATCAATAGACTAGAACATAGACGCAGACTCTCGGATTTGAGTATGAAAGTAGAAAGCATTTTTCCGGTGTCGGACTTTGCGAATACGGCGAAAAGCGGGCAATGAACGAAGCATTAACAACTCGAAAATGGAGAAAGTGACAATATCCTTCTCGTTCGCATGATGATTCTTCCCACCTTCTCAGACTCCCATGCCTTCGCGAGAATGGGAAAGTAGCGAGAATCAACGTGCGAGTGAGAAGGGCTCGCGTACGTTCCCACGCTCTCGAATCGCTGGTGCATCGCTCCTCAACGATTTCAAATCTTGACATCAGCCCTATATCTGAGCCAGAATCCTACTTGTTTGTACAAGCATTTACTTACCGCAAACCAGTTTCTATAGCGCTATAGTGGCAAACCGAGAGCAAAATAGCGTGATTAACTCTTGACAAAGCTGAGGTAAATTACCTGTAAATTAGATGGTCGGATACTAAAACCATTCTTCGGCGATTTTTCACCACTCCTCCATGAGTGTTTAGACTTCGAACTGCGGAACCACTGGAGGAAGACTCTGGTGAATGTCTAGAGGTCGATGGCGATCCGACACTCTGATGTGCTCGTCGTTTGAAGCTAAACTTTTTATGTGTGAGTATGAACAGAATGATAGAGTTCATTCCAATGAAGAGTGGGGAGGGGCATGTGGTACGACAGGACGTGCAGTAGCTTAGATTTCTGCAGGAGGAGGAAACACCCGGGGGTTTTCGCTGCGGGATCCTCAGGTCCACTTTTAATCATGGTTGGACCTGAGGTACGCGCATCGAAACAAAATTCGCGCTGCAAAAACCGAAAAAGTCGCTTTTGGTGCTAGCGAACCACACAATCCACACAATCCCCGGGATGCGCAAATTATTTCCCTTCTTTTTTACACCTAGCCCGGAGCAACCTCGCTGAAATTGGGATATTACAGGTAGCATAAGCTTCGCACCTTCTCCTTATCGCTACAGACCCGGATGCTAATTCGGAGGAGGTAGGCAGCCCTGCCATCAGAACAAATCAAGTCTTTTCTAAAAGCGCGTTAATGGAACGACACTGATCCAGATTACTGCAAACCGTATCCGTGCCGAACGCGAGTGGCGGTTCCAAAGGTTTTGAGGGACTGTTCTGACGATTAAAAAAACTGATGGACTTCTACCTGCTCGCTGCCTTCTCTTGTTGCTGTACTACAAAATTTTGCACTACTTTTTGCATCTGGACAACATTTTCGTTCAAGCGAGGTTTCCGTGTAGAGGTCCCTTTCCTGAAAATAATCAATAACAATGAAATACCTAACAGCTCAAGTAATTATAATCAAGGTTAGCACTGTGAAGAATGGATGGTGATGCAACTTTGCCAAAAGCAGATTCATAAATCAAATTCAGGTCAAACTTACCAAACAACCGAACAAGTCCCCCTTCGCTCCGGGGCCATTTTAGTGGTGCGAGATTTATGTGAGTGGACAAAACGACAGAACTGTACGTCGGCTGGCCCTCGCAATTAATAGTGCGCGCCTTACTGCATTCTAATGTTTCCACGATTACGAATAGGAGAGGAATGCATGGCGCATCCATTATGAGGGGAGGGGGGAGAGGGGGGGATTCAGGTGAGTAAGCCACTTACGGTGCGGCTTAGCCTCAGGAACAAGAAGGGATTCTAAAGGAGGCGAGCAAATTTTGTTCAAGTTGGCGGTTCTACCCACTCCTTCGCTTAGTCCTAATGTCAGCAGTTTCTCGATGCCCTGTTTTGGATGCCCCCCTCCCCCGCAAACGCCAAACTGAGATCACGGTACATGCAGGTTCCCGGCACTACCCACCCACTAGATGATGGCCTAATAATATGTGAATGAGGAATGGTTTTTGCGCATCCAAACACAGAGAGCTGTGGAGGGACACCCACTTTCATGGGCGGCTCCGAAACAAAAAACGTAAGTGAGCTCTTAAATAAGCGAGAGTCCCCAGTACAGAAAGGAAAGCGAACAGATTTGAAAATTCGGGGTAAAACAAAACGGCAGAATGGACTTGAACGAACTTAGAACGCTGTGCAAAAAAAAGAAATCACCAACCTTGTATCACACATTTCGCACTTGAAAGCCTCGAATCGATTTCGATATGTGCACACCGTGCATTCCCAACTGCCGGCATCACAGTCGTCATATGGGGTATCTTCTTTACGGGCCCGCTTTTTCCCCGCACCCGACATGCCCACTGATGGCACAGCTGTAACGAGAAGCGTAGCTGTACAAAAACAGGCCCATTCTCTATTGTGACGGTCGCGAGATGAACTTGAAAAACTTATTGCACAAAAGAAAAAAATGAGAGCGAAAACCTATTCGCAAGATGAAAAAATGGAGGCACACATTTATTCCAGTCTTGAACAGTGTGCTGACTGCGACTGTTCACACTTTAATTCGTTACAATCTCTCCACTTCGCAGTGAGCCAGATTCTGTGCGTGATTTTTTTGAGTACGAAAATAACGCAGCGCTATACGACAAGGGAGCAGCTGAAAATAACGCGAGCTGTCAATCGATTCAGCTTGATCGCGTTTCTAGGGCCATACGCTTCCAGGGAAATAATGCAATAGCAGCGTATCCAGGTTTGCTATTCAGCTGTAAAGCATTCTTGTAGTGTCCTACATGCGTCGCACTTATTTCCCGACCATGAAAGAATATCAAATGCTAGCTCAAACTGCTCTCCTGCTCATACACACAGAGCGATGATGCCAAATAGAATGGCTATTGGGCTGCTAAGAAGGACCATTTCTTCGAACTTTTCTGCACTGAGAAATATTTTGCTTAACTCTCGACGACAGCGCGGTACACATACAGTCGATATCCGAAAGTTGGGGTAGGTGTGGCACCGGAATTGACGTGTACTTGATGGCAGTTGCGTGGATGAGCTGTTTCCAGCATGCTTTGCTGATATCCAGCGATGTATGCTGGAAACAGCTTATCCTCGCAACTTCTATCAAGTACACGTCACATCCGGTGCCACACCTACCCCAATTATCGGATATTGAGTATACGTAGTGCATTTTCACATAGAGATTAAAGGAAGTGGTCACGATAATTCTGATAGGGACGATAAGGAAAGCTGTGCACTGGAGTGGATAGGGGCCTGCCCAATGTTAACACGTGAAGTTTCTGTGACAGTGGCCCCATCAACGAAGTGATAAAGCGCCGAAATCCACTTCCCTTCAGCAAAAACCAAGACTTATCGATGTGGAAAGGGGTGTTATAAGAGCGTGCCAGATATGATACCTTATCGTTATCGTCCCTTTTCATTCTGGAGTGCACCTCTTATCAAGCCGCCGCACCTTCTTATTCATCGTATCATATCTTCCATTGGCTTACACTCGTCCAACAATTACTGCCTCACACCTTATCGATTGATAACGAGAGGGTAGCAAATCCAGCGTGGAAGCCAGTGATTCGCTTCCTTTAATTAAATCCACGAGTCGAGATTAGGTCTCAAGAGCCAGTCCCTCTATATTGAGAAAAGGGGTGCCCAAGGGCAGGAAGTTTGGTACACACGACTCAAAAGTGCGAGGCAATGGCGCTAAGACCTTGCCTTGTGTGTTGCCGAGCTGTCAACTTAAAACTACGGCATACGCTGGCTGTGCGACCTCTCGCGTACGACGTACTATCTTGCGTGTATTATATTTATTTATTTGGAGACGCGAACGGAGTCCGCGCGAGAACATTCAACAAAGCCCGATAGAACAACACAACACTTGATAAAATTGCAAACGAATTGAATAAGAGCGAAGGTAAAAAGCTTGCGTTACAACTAAATTAAAACAGAAACAAAGAAAGGAGGAAAAGAAGAACTCCGGAAACCCCCCACTGGCTTATTTGTGAATCAATCTCTTGAAAGCAGGCAGCGAAAGCTTGAAAATATCACCTTCAAGCAACTTGTTGAAGTCCGCGAGCACTCTGATAGAGAAATAACTTGACCTGATATTAGTCCTGCTCATCGGAGCCCTTAACTTCATTTTACCCCCTCTGGTGTTAGAAGTAACAAGAGTAAAAAAGTCGGAAGGAGTAAGATTGGTTTTACCGGTGAGGATTTTGAAAGCCATAACTAGTCGAAATTTCTCCTTCTGCTGCACAAACTGGCTAAACCAAGTTGCCTTCTTCTTTCAGATCCATTTGGAATGAAATGGTAGCTGAGACCACTGCAGCGCATGACAAGCTTGCGAGTAAAATTGTTTTGGATACTCTCTAAGAAATCAACGTCCTTTTTTTGTAAGGAGAAAAAACAGTAGTCCCTGTTTCAAGAATAGGACGAACATATGTTTTATATGCTCGCAACAAAACACCACAATTTTTAGTGCGGAGAGCTTTAAATAGATTATAGATTCTAAAGTTTGCTTTGATCGCCAATTTTTTGAAATGCTCAGTAAATGAGAGCTTATCATTTATCAGGAATCCCAGGTCCCTGACATCCGAAACGCATCGTAGTTGAACATTATTGACACGTATGAGTATGCATGATCTGGATCTCGACCGATCCGCAAAAGAACTGTTTTTTCGCAAGCCAAAGGCAGCTCCCATGTTTCTGACCAGCTAGCTACACAATCAATAGCTCTTTGGAGGACGAGGCTTTTCTCAGGATTTTCAACGGTGGTGTAAATTTTTACATCATCAGCATACATTGTGCAAGTGACGCCAAGCCGTGAGATACTAGTTGGGAGATCGAAGGTATAAACAAGAAACAAAAGCGGGGAGAGCACGCCTCCTTGGGGGACACTACTAGGAGAAGGAAAAATGGATGAGAATGCCTGTCCAATTCTCACTTGGTAAGTTCGATTCTGTAGAAAATGTTTTATCCAAGTGACTATTCTCCAATGGACACGACCATGATCAGCTTTTGTACCAGTTTATCATGAGGCAACTTGTCGAAGGCTTTAGCCAAATCGAAGTTTACAATGTGCGTAGGTTTTCGCATACCCATTGCGTTTTCACTCTCCTCGCAACGCTGTGTCTCTACGCCATACCACGATCGTCCTCATGAAGGAAATTTAGTGTTCCCTATGACATTTTTGCTTTTTCTCCCGACTAGTGTTAGTCATTGTACTCCTTGCCTGTTTTAGAACAAAACAACGCATCAACTCAATTCCGACTCGTGCCTTTAAGATTAATCAATTTAATTTTGTTCCCCAATACGTGTTCCAGAAATGGGCGCTATCGCAAGATAGGGGGACATTGGGATAGCAATGCATTTAGGAAAGCGTAAAAATCCCTTTTCGTGGAAATCGGGACTAAGCCTTTGGCGAGGCGGAAAGATTCCACCCCTCCTAAGCTTAACCATGGAGGATGCCCCCTACCTTGCGCTAGGGCCCAGAAATAACTCATTACCTAGAGTAAGATTGCTGGTGTGATATTAACTATTCATGCAAATTTGTAAAAAAAAGGGTGGATGCGCTCACAACACCGTGTCGACAACGTGTTAATTATGGCATGTTTTATTCCCTTCACTGCCTGAAAGCTTTGTTAGGTATTACTGTGTTCAGAATCTTGCTGCCCGCATCAATGTATCTCTCCTAGGAAAACAGCGCAAAAATAAATGTCAACCATAAGAGTAAAAAATCATCTAAATAAATCTAAACTCCTGCCCACACAACAGTTCCACAATAGCAAGCCCCGCGCCGGATTTTTTTCCTAAAATGCATACTAGTTTGGACGATGATTTGGTACTCCTACTGACTAGGGCAACTTGCCAACAACTTTGCCATAGGGCGCCACTGGTTGCGGGGAGACCTATGCCTTCAAGTACAGTGGAACTTAACACCTTTCTACATTGAATCAATGATCAATGAATGCAGAGCATCTGAAGAAGTTTAGTTCTTCTGTGAATCTTCCATTGGAACTTTTTCATGGGAAAACGAATTGTGGGAGTGGTGGAAGCTTAGTTAAGGGGGGGGGGATGATAACGCGATGGCGGACGCTATGGATACTAAGCTTTGGAGAGCTTTGAAGCGACAAAGCGCCGCGCCTTCGCGTTGTCCCTATCCTCGCCCAACGAAGTTTCTTCATTTCTTGTGAAATGACTGGGTACGATGCTGACATCGCGGGAATGATGCCGTCTTCAAGAGTTAACCAATTCAGAACCGATACAGAATAGATGCTTTCGCTAGTCGTATGGGATGTGAGATGACCAGACTTACCATTTACCTGTCGGATTTGTGGCTATCGGCATGAATTAGGTATCAACCAAGTTGTTTTCTATTTTCTACCGTTATCAAGTACGTCGTTACTGTTATCCAACAAATTGGGCAGGAGCGTGTATAGCTGGTGCTGGGAAGTTTTGGTTATTGTCTGCCACCGATTCTCTATGCTCGTGTTCATTCAGTAAAAACTATGCTGAAATCAAATCCTTGTAAGAGTGCAAACCACTGACTAATTCACCGGGCGAAAGCTCCTACTCTTGCGTGATGCGCGTGCTCCTTCTAGCTGGTTCACTGTGGTTGCAGAGACTAGGTCCAGCAAGGCGCCCTATGGCAAAGTTGTTAACAAGTTGCCCTTGTCAGGGGCAGGGTCAACCCTATCGTTGTTACTCTTTGGAAATTTTTTACGACCCCCCTCCCTTCATGGGTGATTTGATACGACCCCCTTGTATGTGACACTTGTGTAGAGACAGTGTTTACCATTAATATTTATTTCTACGTAAGTCATCAAAGACGAAACTTGAGCAAAATCTACGACAGATATTCATCGCTGCTTCCAAACACGAAAAAATGAGATGCATTCAAAGGTATCCGTGTACTCCAAAGGGTTACCAAACTAGGAGATGAAATATACTGAACCAGTGACCGGAATATTGACAATATTACCTGACAAAAACTTATGAGAAGTCAGAAAAACTTATCGCTCCATGAAATACTGAAGTCCTTCACGTCCTTCAATTGCAACACAGTTTTTATACCCTCTTTCCAAGGCTGTAACTTCCTTCATATTCGAGCTTCTGCGCCAAAGTGATTTGATTTGGAAGATTCAAATTATTCTCTCTCCAACCGGTAAAAATTCTTCGAAAGTTAATGTAATAAAAATTTAGTACCTTGTCACATTTTTCTGTGCAAATGCGACTTTTTACCCTTTAAGTGATCACAACTTTGTTCGAAGTCATTCATTTGAGAAGCTAACAAGGTATTACAAACTGCAGGATTCAAGCTTTCTTACGAGCACCAAAACGTTCCTGAAAAGTCAGCAGTTCAAAAAACTAGTCCCGTTGTTACTTTTTCGAGGGGCAGTTTTCAGGCCATATTCCCAAAAACGCGGATTTTCTTAGGTTCCACTGCCCGTAACTTCTTGTAAGACCAATGTCTTGTTTAACTCAGGATGTGCTAGAAAGCTTCTAACATGCGCTTGCACTGCATCCCTTGTCTTGGTGTGCGCCACGCCTCGGGCGCCCTTCTAATTCGCTGATTCATTTGAAAGCTCATTTAGAAGGAAGCGTGGTTTATGGATGCTCTAATACCAGTCATCTAACAAAAATGTATTGCTGGCTATTATCCGAAATTACCAAGAATCCCACTGCCGGCCACCGAGAGAGTACGACCCCCTACAAGCTCTCGTAACAACGTAGGGTTGGACCCCCTACAAGCTCTCGTAACAACGTAGGGTTGACCTTGATCTGGGAGTAAATCATCGCTCCTTACTTTTCTCCATAGAGGTGAATTAGATGTTAAACAAGATAAACTTAAGCATACTCCTGACAGAAGCGATTCTTCATGGAAATCCCTTGAATAAGTGATAAGTGCGCAATTTTATAACACAACTTATTCAGAAGCAGCATTTAGCTTCTGTACAGTATGGATTAGGATGAAAACAAAATCTGTGCGTTGTTAACCTAAATGAGGCGTTGATGTTGATTCAGAGCACCCAACCACCTCCTTCAAAAGTACTGAGCCCCTGTCATGAACTTGCTTCTTGGCCCTATCCAGTAGCAAACATTTATAACATTAGGAGATTAAAAAATGGCATAGGAACACCTTGCAGTATTTAATAGCTTCAAAGGACTCCTGCTTTTTTAATGTATTCGCTCTTGCAGAAACTACCGCACTGAATGTAATCCTCCTACCCCCTCCCCCCCCCTTCCCCCACATCCACGTCCACAAGTAGGCTACCCACAAATATGGGCCAGTTTTGTTCGTTGTACAAATAAAGACTGAATTTTCGAACAAATGGTGTGCGTTGTAAACCGACTCGAGCTTCGCGAAACGTAGTGCCTGCTAGCAGAGCGATATTATATTAAAATGTAATTCATGCAATAAAAAAATTTGATACAGCTCCACAATATGCACTCAGAGACAAGGTTTATGGAAACGAGGTCGAGGAGGAGGTTTAATTCCTGAAGGGGTTTTGACGAAGGTCAGCAGATACAAACAATAGTTTGCAATTATGTAAATAGTAGATGTATTACACATGAGATCTTCACAAGTTAAAAAAAAATCAGAACTCCTTCAAGTTAGCAAACATTGAAACGTGGATTCTCCATAAAACCCCAGCTCTCCACTATGAGCTGGTTAGCGAACCGCATGCGGTTACGCTTCAACCGAAGAAAGGTAAAACAGGGAAAATGAAGCAACACGAGAAGACATTCAAGCTATTACAGACTTACAGGATCCGTGTGGGACCACCTCGCACTTTTGCACGGCGTCATTTTTCTCCGCTCGTTGTGGGAAGTTTTGCGGACATGATGGTTCCAGTTCTAGGAGCAATATTTTTCTTTCAATGTTTTCATCGTTCTTTGATCATTCTCATTCGTTTCTTCGCAAAGCATTACCTTATGGTCGCTTGTGGTGCCATATGTAAACAATTAGCAATGGAGCTGATTTTCTTCGTGGGTCAGATGTGCAAATGCTTGTTTGTGTGGCATTTCTAAAATCATTATAACATATGGGCTGTGGTCGCTGGCCACCGACTTTCCTATCGAGTGCGTTTGAGGCCTCTGTTTAACTGTATGAGGAACAGGTTCCACTCAATGTTCCTCAATAGTTCCGTTTGCAATCACCAGTTGCGTTCTGGTCACCATCTTCCGACAGCTGTGCCTGTGAAATGTTCTTATTTTTTGATCCTTGTGCGTTTCCATCCTGGTTGTTCGTTCTATGTTCTGAGTGGTCTCCGCCCACCGCTGCAACCTTGAACGTTTGTGTGTGTTCTTTTTTCACCGGTAGTTTCACTTGTTTGATCTGTGGTTTGCAGCCGGTTCACCGGGAGAGTGAAGTGCAAACTAGGAAGATATGGATGTTTCCGAGGAGAGCGTCGAAAGTTTCAAGGTGACTTCCATGGCGATGCCATGACAATCATTCGAATGGGGTCATCCCTCAAGAAATCTTTCATTGAAATGTATTATTTCAAGGAATTCTGTGGTATCACTGATAATGATGTCGCGGCGCGATATTTGAACCACTGCCACGGCGATTTACAAGCAGCTGTTCAACTGTTCTTCCAGGTATTTCCGCTTAAATCAGTCTCACAGTAGTGAAGGGAGCTCCTTTTCTATATATCATTTGGTTTCCAGCTGAGAAGGTCCATTCCAGACTGATGGAGTGCTGAATGCTGATCAAGAGGAGAATGACTTCGTGGAGGTAGCTGGCATGAGAAACAGGCGAAACAATTCGGAGCCATTGTTTGGGGATGACGACGATTGGTCTGATGAAGATCGACGTTCACAAAATGCTATTGTCAATTCCAGGTTACCTTATCACAATCAGAATTTTTGGCTCATTACAGTAATAAGGTTTAGCATGAAAAGCCATGAAGGCTAAGGCTGTAAAGTTCCACAATTAATTATTACGTCATTTCTAGAGCCGATGCGTCTCGTTGGTCAGTTGTCCAACCGTGGCGTCAGTTCATTGTTGCTCTTATCACACTGCCATTCAATTTCTTTATTTCTACTCTTTTCGACGTACTCAAATTCTTTTGTGAGTCTCTCGTAAGCTTATATAAAGTAGTGTAAGCAGAGCGGCTCTTTTTTTCTGATGCACCTCACACAATTCATCAATTAAAGTGGAATCTTTCAAAAGGAAGAACAAAAAACTTTGAAATACGTAGGATTTCCAATCCTAAATTCTACATATAAAGTTTAGGTCCATAATTACATGAAATATAAATTTTAATTCAATCCATATATAGCTCTTTTGTTATGTGCACAAAGCCCAGTTTTGTACCTACTTTTTCACATCAACTAGTACACTCCCAGGAGAACCCGGTGAGGGGAGTGGTGAGGGTTCGGCTCGGATTAGAATTCCTACGCGAGAGTTTTTGAAGAGTACATTTTTTCCCACTATGTTTGTAGCAGTTGTCCCAATAGAATACTATCCGTGGCGTATAGCATGCCACCTGACCGAGCATGGGAAAGGTGACCCTTCAAATTTATTTGTTTCTCTTCTTTGCTTTCAGGACAGCTTCACGCCCGCACACGCCTTGCAAAAGCGCCTTCTCTTGGGATAGTCGTTTGAGAAAACAGATTATTTAATTTGTTTAGTTCCCCCACTTTCTTCACGATTTGGAGCGCGACCGCGGCGAGTCCACAGTGCCCGCGAACTGTGATGAAAAGCGTTTTCAATTTACCCGCACAGTTCGCGAGCGCTATCTACTCGGCCGCGCTCGCCGCGGCCGAGTAAATAGCGCTCGCGGAGAAAATCGTGGAGAAAGTGGGGGAGCCAAATTGTTTTCCGTCCTTTTGACGGTGGATGTAGTTTACCACCACTTTTCTGCAAGGTGTAGCTTCAAAAGAGGGAAAATGAGTTAACAGTACGGATAAACACAAAAAAAATCATTATGTGGCAAAAACCTAGGGAAGAGGAAAGCAGGAAAAACTACTACGGTACAATAAAAATTGTGTAAAAGGTTGTGCCTTGTGTGGTGAAACAATTTCCCATAAAACATTCGTATTTGATGAGTCTTGGAGAGTTGTTACAATCACTTAGAACTTATAATACTGTACTTATGATGGAGTTTTAAGCTGACAAATCCGCGCTATACTACTGTTTGTCGCAATACGGCAGTGTATGAAGTTTTTGTCTGTATAATAGCCTTTCAGACGATTTGGTTGTTGGGGAGAGAATGCCGGCGATTGCTGATTTTCGAGAAGATGTAGCGAACTTTAGAAGAGCTGTGGTTGAGATATATGGCGCGACAAGAGTGGAGTTTTTTGATGGAACATTTGATGAGGTTAGCCTTCAGCTTTGATGTGTGGATCCTTTCAACTTGTGCGTACAGCTAAGGCTGATGTCAGACTTTGCGAATCACGCGATTCGCTAGCGTCTGCGGTCGCGTCGCGGCCAGTGAATCACTTAATTGGCTGGTACCGCAACGCGACCGCGGACGCTAGCGAATGGCTAGTAGCGAACCGAGCGATTCGCAAAGTCTGACATCGGCCTTATGTTGTAGCATTGCAACAGTTGAAAGGAATAGATTTTCGAAGGAATTCTTTCTGTGGTAGTTTAGCCTTAGTACTATGTATAGAGCACATCTCCGGTCCCTCTAGTACAAGGACAAGGTAATACACTGGTGTGCAAAATTTAAGGAGAACCTAGCTATTTCATGACGTGTAACTGCATGGAACCTAACTACACAATGAAGGAGCTACCGCAGTGTTGCACAAAAAGCAATTGACAGGAAGCGTTAAACGGTCTCAGAGCTACCAATAACTTATGTTACTCCGTCTATCTTCTATCGTCTTCAACTTTTGCACACCAGTGTACGTGAACGGATCATTTGTGGTGTACTTTTGAGGACCGGTGATGTCCTATATTTCACGTATCCTGCTCACATCGCACCCAAGCGTTTATAATTGAACATCCACGCTGGAACTCCTCCGCTCTTAGACCTAGGCAAAAATGCAAATTTTCCTATTCAAGACCATTTTATTATACCATAGCAGGCGGAAATATGGAGCTATTTCAGGAATTCTTTCACATTACCCCGATATTTGTCAGAATTATGATTCAAATGATTAAGATCGTGAGCGCTGTTGCTCTTATCGAGCGCAATAGAGTGCCCCCCCCCCTCGCTCGAACTACATTCTCACCGTTTGCTCCCTTGCTCGCTTTCTTGGCTTTCTTGAAGCAGTATGATTGAATCAACTCAAGTGTTTCACATCGAACATTCTTTAGCTTTGTAAGGTGATATTCGATGAAATGTAGCACTGCTCATGCAATCGAACCTAAGGTAATTGATGTAATACATATCATCTAGAAGGGAGGAGCGAAAATCTGGTCGATGCAAGCACTTAGTGAATAGCTCAGGCGTGCTTACCCCACTGAAGGTGTTCTTCACACACTTCGTTTTGGGTACCTATCGGTTTCTCATTTTCAGGCTTTTTTGGCTGCTTGCGATGCCAACACTATATTTGCTGCTTATCTATTCACTCCTGGATCTCGTGTATGTTGATTTTTTTCCGTTCGTACAATGTCATCCGCCTAATGTCAAGTTTTTTAGTACTCCGAAGAAATGGTTCGCCAAGTGTTGATGGACGATGATTTCAATGAGACGTTGCTCAATTTTAATGTTGTTCTGTGGGGTGCTGATCCACGCTCGGCGGCAGGAAAATATGGTAATTAAAAATCTGTGGACTGTTTTTTTTTGTAAGAGGACTTACATATTGGAAATTTGAGCTGCACACAAGCTACGTGTTTCAACATTCCCTTCATTTGCGGCTTTGTCAAGTCGTGATCACAGCCTGGTTAGTGACCTTTACAGTAACATTTAAATTTGTGATTTGCAAGTTTCTTTACCCGCCATGCCTAAAATTCAGCTGATGCGTGTCGAAATGCCCGTGGAAGCCCGTCAGATCTGGCCACTTCTGCGCCAGTGTGCTTTGGAGGAGATGGAGCAACGTGAGGAGGAAGAGTTCAGAAAGTAAGCAAATGTTTTTCTGATCTGTCTTGGAATCTTTGTATTGCGAGATTTTCTTCAGGCGAGTACTTCGTGAGAACCGACAGCTGATGGCGCAGCAGGAAAGGGAGTATCGTGAAAGTGAGGAGCGCGACAGGGCCATGATGGCTGAGCGTCGTCGTCAGCAAGAAATGAAAGAAGCGGAACTGCTGAAGCAGCAACAGGAGGAGAAGGAACGTCAAGACAAGATTGCATGGCGCCTACAAGTGAGTTTACCTACCAGTTCACTCTGTTCTTTCAAACGGTTAATCTTGTTTTGGTCCCCATCTTTGTCAGGCGACTCCGTGTAATTAATTGATATTGAGTGGACGATATTATTTTAAGCCTTCGCTTACACATGCCAAGCTTTCTCCTCAGAGTCGCAACTCATGGGGGGGGGGGGCGAAAGTTGTTAAGATTTCCGCTTGCTCAATATTGTTTATTCAGGGTCTGCGTGAGTTGCGAGAAGAGTTTACTGCCAACCAAATCTCAGATGATTGTGAAGGAGCAGATTCGATTCGAGTGATTGTGCGTTACCCTTCCGGGGAGACGAGCCAGCACAAATTTGCGCCGGATGATAGCACTAAGGTTCGCAGGGATTCTTCATCAAGAAGAGAATTAATTCTAAATACTTGTAAAGAAACCCCGGTAGTATGGAAACGGTTCTCTACTAAATATCAATTCATTGTTTGAGTGGCGGCTTTCAGAAACTTTTCGAAGTCATCTTTGTGAAAGCAAACTGTCCTAATTTCTTCGAGGCTCACTATGGTTTTCCTCGTGTCAAACTTGACTTTTGTCCTCGAAGGTTGGTTTATACAAACCCTTATTTGGAACCTTGTTTTTGTCAAAATAGTGAATTTCTGCAGGTATTATGAGATTCTCTCTGATCATCGTCAGTCATTGGGACAGGAGACATCCCCATACGTGGAACCGAAAACATTCAGGGAACTCGGAATCACCTCTTCTCTGGCTCTTTACATCAACGATGTGGACTCTTGAAGCAAATTCGCATCGTTGAAATCACAAATTTTAGTAATAGTTGTGTCGGTTCCCATCCTTCTGTAAAGTATGATCTATTATATTAAAAAAAGTGAAGAAATATTTTTCTGACAGCAGGGATGGTTGCCGCCACAACAAGTGTTGTGGTAAGTACCCAGACATGTTCCGTCGAACATTCATCTTCTTCCGTATGAGATCCTCATCTCCTTAGAACTGTTGTTGCCCGTAATTGTGATGTGAGCATCCTGGTATCTTTTGATCTGGTTTTTGTTCTGCATGTTCATCCATGTATTTCTTTAGGAAGGTTTTGTGCTGATGTCAGGTGTTTTTCTTTTCGTTTCCCTAGAATGAGTATTAGTGCTTTTATTTACGTCCGAGTTAGACTTTTTCAGACTTCTATCTGCATCTGGTGCGAGTGGAAGGCTAAAGGGTATGTACTGAGATAGACCTTGCACTTAATTTCAAGGTTTTTATGTTAATTTCTGTGAATGGTAGTGTAGGTCTGGTCCTTTTTTCTGTCTTTTTGTTCCATATTTGCAGCGATTTGGGCCTTTTTGTGTGTATTTGATTTTTTTTTGCTTTTTGTCATTGTCCATGGCTTTCCTGTCAGCGTCAAGGTATTTGGGTCGTTGCTGACTGGAGCGGATGTGGTTGTGCTGCATCCTCTACGTGCCATGTCGTAATAATCGAAAATGGTTGTGTTTCCGATATCCGTAAGAGTGGAGATCATTTGCTTAGAAAGCAATATACGGAAATCGGGAATACGGCTCTATATCATGCCTTTCCGGTTGTTGAGATCATTCAGCTCTCGTCTCTCATTCATTCGTGGCTTTCTGTTCATGTATAGCCGTGATTCTACTGATGCTTCCGTTTTCGTTTACTTTTTTTTGCAATCGTCTGGTCGTCCTTTCGTTCATAGCGGTGAGGACATGTTCTGCGCAGAGTTTACTGCGGGTTGATGTCACAGCAGTCTCCATGCTTGTGCCTTCCCAATTGTAGTGTAAGAGAGTTATTTGTGCGTTTTGTCGCCCAATTGATGCTCTGTAAAATTTCCGCATCTGCGGTAATTGTCTTGTAAATGATTTTTATCCTCTGTTTATGGTTATTGAGAATGAAGTTGAGACCATGTGTGTGCTTCGAAACTGGATTCTAATGAAAGGATTGTGTTCTGAACAGGACCAAGCGTGCGTCGAGGAATCCTCGACACGTCAGGAAGGAAGACGGGCTGGATTGATGCAGCAGGATCATCACTGAAGGAGGACAAAGATCAAGGATAAAATCGACGCCATGGAAGGCGTCGAGGAATCCTCGACACGTCACAGGGGGGATCTTATTGGCCCGCTGGGAGGAAGATATCGGGCTGGATTGATGCAGCAGGATCATCACTGAAGGAGGGCAAAGATCAAGGATAAAATCGACGCCATGGAAGGCCAGATGATTTATAATAATGATGTTATTACGCCCACATTCGTCAGAGGTGTCTGCGTAGCACTTCTTAGTTACTCCAGAGTTTTACCATGACACAAGTTAAGAAATCCAAAACGTTCTCTCAGGGATATTTTATCTTTCAAGTGAGTTCTCGAATCTGAGGGGATGTGAAGCACAGGGCGAGTCCCAGAGTGGGTCCAGTTAGTTGCGCGCGTTTCAACAACACTGAATGGTTGTGTAAATATGTTCTCTTGTTCATCATTATTGTAAACGGTCAGTATGAGTGAGATGACGAGAGGTGATCCGAGAGGTCGTGCGATCATTTGCATGCGCATGCGTATGACATAATTAGATTTCTTGCGGTTCCCGACAATACTAACGGATGGCGTCAAACCATACAAGAAAATAAGGACCCTCATTAACAGTCATGGACAGAGAAGAACGGTCAGCGTTTCCACGGAAAGGATGATCAAAATCTTTGGTTAACAATTCACGAAGCTCCATCAGAAGGATGGCGAGGCGGCTGAATGTGTCGAAGTCATCGACGGCGCGTCAAGGAGAAGCTGCACTGCCAATTCTATCACATGCAGAACTGCCACTCGATTCTGTTCAGAAACAAGCTTTCCTTAAGGGAGGTCGGCGGTCCTACTAAGCTGGTATCCGGGGCCTTATCCCGCCTAGGAACTTGCAGTGTATGGCTGCGCATTGCCTCTTCCCCTCCTAGCGAACCACGGACCCTCTTTCTCTGCCCCCTACCTTCCCTCGCCCCTCCCCATCTTTCATATCATTGTTGTAATTATACTGTGCCATATATACAGGGTGTCCCAAAATTATGGACCCATATGCACAGCAATATATTTTCCCAGTTGGCGCCGCACGCGTTGCGCGCACAGCACAGTTCTGCGGCGATATAGGATGGTGCGGCGTGAATTTTCGGATTTGGCTCAATACACTTCGAATACTTGACCTTCAAGCTGAATTCTATCGGATTGCCCCAGGCTTCGTCCACCGATGGCTTTTAGCTTCTCTCCTTCCCCCACACTGTCCATTTTTTTCGGCCTCGGACCGCCTCCGGACCGATTTGTGAACCTCGTGGTTAAATACGCCTATTTCTTTGCATGCCCCACCTATTATTTCCTTCCTCGCCAACCTCTTTCTACTTTTTACTCGATCTCTGAACTATCTCTGGGCCGATATATAATTTTGGCGGCGAATCCTGCTTTTTTGGTGTATCTTCCAAACACCATTAGAAATTCACTTCCTTTCCTTAGCTTCGTCTCAAGCGCATATTGCAGCCGAGTCAAAAAGTTTCGTGGAGAACTCCGCCTTTCTTGAAACGGTGTTCCCACCAAAAGTAGGGCTCCACTTCTTCACCAACCTCTACCCACCTTTTCCTGGTCTCCAGGACTTCTTGGAGCCGAGTTATGAATTTTCGCCGCGAACTCCGCCAACTTTGGTCATGCCCCACCCACCGAAGATAGTTAACCTCCACTCCTCCACTCACTTCTAGCCACATTTCCCCCAGCCTCCGGAACTTCTTGGAACCGAGTTATGAAAATTTTCGTGGATAACTGCGCCCACTTTGGTCGTGCCCCGCCCACCAACGACAGTTAACCTCCAGTCCTTCATCCACCTTTTCCTGCTCACTAAGACTTCTCCAACCCAGATTATGAGGACTTGTAGAAAACGCTGCACACTTCAGAGCGGGCTCCGCCCATTGTGGGCGGATCTCCGCCCACGTCATGTACGCTGAGAACACCTTAGACATTGCTCCCCTACAACAATTTGTTTTCTGCTGTGTAAGCTTTCTCCCAAGCGAGTTATGAAATTTTTCATAAAGCACTGCTTACGCCCCGTTCACCGAGGTTGGGTCTCCCTAATTCGGTGTGACTTACCAATGCACACCTTTACCCACTTTTTGGCCTAGTTCCGAGGCTATTTTCTCACTGAAATTTAAATCTTGTTTCTCTGTACAGTTCACTTCGAAGCACGCCACGCCCTCTGTGGGCTGAGCTCCGCTTAGCTGATGTGTGTTTTGCATTTCGTGAGACCTTGTCCACCGATTCCACACTCGACCTGGTCCCTCCAGGCGGTTTCCGAGGAGCTAGGGAATTTCGTGACATACAGAACGAAAGACAGACAGACAGACGACAGACGAAGCGCTCTACAGTAAGTTGGATGCTTCAATGCCGACTGAATTTGTGTGTATGAGCTAACCCACATCATGTACAATAATATGGAACAGCCTAATAGCGAAATGTCCTTTATTACAACGAATGCAAGCCAGTAGTCACTTCTGGAGTTTCGCACATGTTGCACGCAGGTACTCCTCGTTTATTTCTTCCGAGGCTTCCTTCAGTGTTGATTCCAGTTACTCAAAACTGTGGAACGGCAGACCTCACTTTCACTCGATGACAACATTGAGAAGTGGGGTGGATGCGGATCTGATGGAAATGATGACCATTCCTCGGTGCTAAAAAGTCGGGCAGCTGAAACCGGCACCACTCTTGGGTGAACTTGGCTCTGTAGGCCAAAGCGCTCTCCTAACAAAGGTGGGTCAGATTATTTCCATGCTGGAACTCTGGCCGAACCTTCATTACACTTACCTCAGTTGTCCGAGTTTGTTGATGTTTCTAACGAAATCGACTGAAAGCTAACGGCCTCTCACCACTGAACGTGGAGTTTCTTCGAACCAGTACTGAGGCCGAATTCGGTTATCTGCAACGCTTCACTAGCGACACGAAACACTCGATCACTTTTTTCCAACGACGAAATATTCGCTGTGGATCGCCGAAGCAATCACATCTAGTTAACAATATAGAGAGTGCTATCCCAGGAGCAAAGTTTGCTGGAAGAACGGCAAATCCTTCATTAGTAATGATTTGGTGGTGAGCTACGGCTAATGGTGAGACGCCGTCGGTTTTCGACGATTCTTGTGAAGGGCGTGTATGATGGAGAACATACTGAAGCTCCGATCCAGCTCCCTTCGCGAGCAAGTCGTGGTGTCTCCAGCAGAACAGTGCTGCAGCCCACGGGGCCGAACTCGTTCGGAACAGGTGCGAGCTGCGAGCTGCTAGACTTCGTCGCCATGAGGATTGACCTTCTAACCCCCTTAATCTTAATCACTTGAACTCTCAGTCTGTCTGTGATTAGGGGCAGAGCATGATGAGCTTGTCATACTATTACTCTTCAATTGCAAGCAGCATAAAAGGATGCTCAGAATGAATAAGGAGTTCCTGCGTGCAACGTGCGAAGGATAGATGAAGAGAGTCCGAGTTTGTACCCTCTCCTTCGAAAAGCGAGATAAGTGTCGGGTGCAGACCATACACCACAACTGAAGACGGCCTTCACGAAATGTTAATGTTTTCTGCCAATGAAGTGATTAGTCTGTCGCAGTCGTGTTCTATCGATTGTCACTAAATTACAACAACGTCATTTACCAGAATCAGCTACCACTATTAGCAACCTCTAGCTAGATTTACTTGGAGCCCGTCGTTGGTTGTGGTGTTTGGTCCGCACCCGATACTTTCCTGCTTTTTGAAGAGGAGGTTACTCGTTCTCTTGGAGGGCAT